CGCATCCCGCATCCCGCATCCCGCATCCCACATCCCACATCCCACAGGCAGGGCTCCCCTTTTGCCTGGAGCAGAGTTCACGCCGGCCAGCAGCAGCTCAGCAAGCAGGGGGAGCTCAGAAACTGTGTGTTTCGACGGCTCTCTGCTCCATGGCTAAGGGACTGTAGCTTGATCTTGAGCCGAATTCCCTCGTGGAAATCATGAGAGAAGGACTGTGCTCTAAACACGTCCTGTCACCCGAATAGTGCTTAGACGTCATCTTATTTCGGAGGACTTCAATTATTAATAAAGTCAAAATTAAATTTATTGGGGTAACATTGGTTAAAAACATTATAAGAGGCCCGGCCGGGTGTGGCTCAGCTGGCTACTGGCTATAAACTGGGATGAATGACCATTTCTTCCACACGGGGACACGCGAGAGGAATGTGTTACTGAACTTACTCTGGGATGACAGCAGATGCACGGTCACCCCACCTATAACCATTCCTGCCACCTTCCTCATACCCACACTCCACCCGCAGGCAATGGTCTTGGTTTCCTGAGAATGCACGCTCCGTCAGCTCCTGTTTATATGCCTGACGCGTTGATAGTTAATTAGCTGAGTTGAAATAAGTGGGCAGACTTTTTGGGTCGTAAAGCTCTGGCTCTCTATGGCCGTATTTACCGATAGGAGCCCCGAGACCCCCAAGCCCATAAGAACGTTGGACAAGAAGTAGTCACGTGCTCATTTCTGCACCAGCCTCTATCTCTGTGCTGCCCAGTGTGGCAGTTAGTAGCCTCCTGTGGCTCTTGAAATTGAAATTAATTAAAACGAGGTAAGTGAAATCAGTTCCTCCTCCTCAGTCGCATTTTGAGCGCTCGGTAGCTGCATGCGTCTGGTGGCTCCACGCTGGACGGTGCAATCATAGGACGTTGGCAGCAGCTCTGCTCTCTAGGATCCTGTGCCTTTACTGCGGGATGTGTTACTCTAGGCCCACAATCCCCCAACCCCCGGGGTCTTTAAATTGCCCCCCTAGAACTTACTGATTTTTTTAAACTTTTTCGTATGCCTTTCAGGAACGTTGGGCTTGGAACGTGCTCCATGATCTCCCGAGTCGGTGGGATCATCGCTCCCTTCATCCCCTCTCTGGTGGGTTTGTTTCTCCTTGTGTGTGTTTGTCGATCCACTGCTTTGGAAATGCCTGTGCTTTCGAGTAGAAGAGGCGGTGGACAGCTGCCAGTTTAAGAGCAGCCTGACACGTGTGAACGCGCGCCTTTTAGGTTCAGGGTCCTTTTAGATTCAGTATCCATCAGGGTGATGGACTCCTACCAAGGATGCTTTCACACGCGCACACACACACACGCACACCCAGCCCCCAGACTCCAATTTTCTGCTCACCTGTGTTCACTGGACACTCGGCTAATGCCAGCTTGTCCCCGTTCACAGTTCGTCAGCTAGTGAATGTTTATTAAGCTCTACTGCGTGCTGGGCGCTACGCTCAGCCCTTTCCGTGTGTCATCTCGCGCGGTCCTCACGGCCACCGGTGAGGCGGGTGTGGTGTCCCCTTGTGTTCAAGATGAGAGTGCAGCGGGGAGGTTAAATACCTTCCCCAAAGGGCGCCACTTGGAAAAGAAAACAGAAGAGAAATATGCCTAGCAGTGTGTTTAGTCATACTTTTTGCCATTTTCTAAGTTTTCTGGTCAAAGCAAAGGGTTAGACTTAAATGACAGCCTGAAAATCCTTCCCGCCAGGAAGTGCCCAGGTTCTGTGACGGCGCCCCGTGCCCGCTGGGTCTCACCGAGGGCTTTCCCAGCCACGACTCAAGGCGGGGGTGGGGGGGTGGACAGGTTTGGCGTGGCACTTGCGAACCCGCTCTGCAGACCACTGATGATCACACGCCACCTCCTAGGACAGGATGTCTCTGAAATGCCACTCCAGCTGTTCCTTCTTTTGAGTTTTGACTCCATACCCTTCCTTTTCCTGAGCATCTCTCTCCGTGTCGCATGCTTATTTTAGGTTACGAGACCCTTCTTTCGAAGGAGTTATATTAGTTCCCTTCTGTAGCACGTGTCTGATGTTAGGGGTGTATGGTTAGAGATGCCCACCTTTGGCTGCTACCCCAGAGCATGGAAAACCCGGCAGCGTGTCTCTCTTGACTCCTGCTAAGCCGAGAAGAGGCGACCGCGTGTGTTGCCTTTGATTCGGCAGCTCACCCATGGTGCTGACGGGTTCGTCTGTAGGTGGCCGGAGGTCAGCGATCCTCCTGTCCCCCTCGCTCTGTCCCCGCTCCCTCTCTATCCCCACGGCCCTTCTTCTCCATCATCTCTTCACTTTTGCAGAATCAGCAGCCATTACTCGAGGGGTCACCCTCACTAGCAGTGGTCCCACCTCAGGATGTGGAAGCCCAGACCAGAGACGATAATGCTGAGCCGCTCCCGGGCAGGGATTCAAAACTGTCGGTCCACCCAGAAAGGCCCCAGCAGGGCCCCCAGGGACTGTTTTTGCTGTGCTGCTCTCTTTGAACCTGTCTGTATTTAAAGAAACTAAATTTCCTGAGCATGTCTTTCGGATCTCTGAGCAAGTGCTCGTGTCACTGGCCCTCTGCCGGGTCCAGTTCAGGTGGTTTCCAACCACATGTACGTGTAGGGTGCTCTTGGCTTCTGTTTCTTTTCAGGATGTCGATACCTTTAAACCCTGTGCCCCAGTGATAAGCGAATCTGTGAGCATTTGTGGGATTGTTCGGCTGATTCCAGGGTTGAGAACGTTAAAGTTCGTCATCAGCAAATATTTGGGGCATCTCCTAAGTGAGAGTATGTGGAGATCACTGTGTCATAAGCTGCCCACCTGGAACGGAAGCTGAGCACCAGATTCCCTGCGAACCCTGGCCATGGGGGCCGTGGAGCCATGGGGGCTGGCCTGCCCCTCCCACAGTGGGCACCCCGTGCATGACAGTGGCTGCTCTGATCCCCAGTGCTGTCATTTACTCCCACCTCTGTGCCTGAGGGACACTGATCCCCTAGGGTCCTTCTCTCTGGGGAAAGTGGTTTACAGTGTATTCCAGTGGGAAGGCATGGACTGGGTGGTAACCAGGGCAGACCTTCTGTCAACACTGGCGATGTCACCTACAAGGAAACTAACTCTGAGTTTTTGTTTTCATTCCACTCCCTGCCCCCACAGAAATATGTGCAGTGGTCTTTACCTTTCATTGTCTTTGGAGCCACGGGCCTGACCGCTGGCCTCCTGAGTTTATTACTGCCGGAAACCCTTAACGCTCCGTTGCTAGAGACGGTTGCTGACCTTCAGGTGTGTTCCTACCGGAGGCTGGGGGAGGAAGCTCTGTCTTTACAGACCTTGGAGGCCACGCAGGTATGGTTGTGTTTGTCTTAACCATTCAGAGTTACCACTTGGGTGTTGATAGTTTTAGGGGGGTGAGGAAGTGTGTCTGCTCAAAATAAACAGTTCCGAGCAAAACTGCTGGAAAACAAAGGTGAATTGCAGCTGATTTTCATTAGCAGCTGGTTCATCAGCTTTCTTAGAACCTTAGGGCTAATGCTTGGGGCAATAGATGCCATAGAAATACACGTGACCGTTAAGCGCTGATAGTAATTTTCACTTTGGAAAGGTCATGACATCCCTTCACGCCCCTTTCCCCTTTCCTGTTTCAGTCCGGGGACAAGGAGAGTGCTTTGGGGAGTGAGAGTGAAGAGGAGGAATTTTATGATGCGGATGAAGAGACTCACATGATCAAGTGACGAGCCCCAGATTCCTAATCAGGAGCAGAGGATCATCTTTTGTGCCTCGGGCTGAGGCAGGTTCTGCCAGGAAACTTACAGAGAGCTGGAGAGAGATGGGCTTGGACACACACAGAAGGCGCTCGGCTCCTGCGCTGGCTGTTCTCAGGCACAGAGCGAGTTGGAGAAGAGATTTCATGAGCGAGGCCATCATCGCATTGAGGAGACAGATGTTAGTGTGTCCAAAATTCAGGTTTGGCTCAGAATCCTGATTTCTGGCCAGACCGCTCTAATCCATGTGCCAGGGTGGCAAACATTTCTTTCCAGAAGTCTGATCGGGCCTCTTTTCCTTCATCATGACCTAAAGGCAAATAAGTAAAATTTTCTCACCCTTTTAGTGGGATAAGATAAAGTCCCTTAAGATTGAATGGTTATTAAGATTCATCTTTATGCCACATTCGACCTCTCCCCTCATCGGTGGCTCTCACCAGCAACCTGTGAGGCCTTGGTCTGAGCAGAGGAAAGCACCGCATTTGTGTGGCCCGAGGCACTGCAGCTTTGCCCAGACGGAATCTGCGTCCTCAGCTCGGCTCACTGCCTCCCGGGTGACTTGCGTCTCGTGTGTCTTTAGCCCCCCAGGTGAGCCTCTGGGAAAAGCCAGCTAACTGTACCAAAGCAGTTTTCTCAGCCAGGGATGTGCCCCGACCCCTGGTTAGCTCCCTTCAGCGCTCAGAGTGTGAACTTTCTTCAGTTCCCACGTGTGTCCCCCTCTAGGAAAATTTCCATCCCCGATTCTGGGACCAGCGGTCACTTCAAAGCCATGCCCAGTGAATGATGAGGCTTTAACCAGGTGGAGGGCAGTTAAAATAAAGGACATGTTGAGTTCTTGGATGTTGGGATGTAGGGGAGAATGTGCCATCTTTAATAAGAGAAAATTCTCTTCCACAATTTTTTAAATTTGCTTTGTTTTGAGTGTCGTGCAGTGAGGGACTTGGGCAGCACTTAAGAACCTGAACCCTCCTAGTCCGAGGCCCGCCCCTGCCTGTTTAGTGAAATGGAAAGCACGGTAATTTCATAGGGAATTGTGGTTTTTCATTCAGTACAACCAACTTTCAAGTAAATCAAAATCATCCTGAGTTCCCTAAAATCATGTGCCGAGACCTGTTTCCCCATGAAAATGCAATGTCAGCTCAGACCCGAGGATTGACCTGGAGTCCGTGGGCCCGGGCAGCGTTGCTTTAAGTAGCTTTCCCAACCAGGAAAATGTCTGTGTTTTCAGAATTTCTATCTCTACTAATCTCTCAGAGAAAAAGAAATTGCCCTAGAGGTACAGAGACAACGTCACCAGGACTGCCCCTGGAAACCTTGGAGGCGTCACCCCCACTGGCTCCAGCACTCACTCTGCTGTCTTCGTCCACACCGGCCTCTTGGCTTGCACTCTACCAGTCTGTACCTTTGTATTTGCTGGAGTATTTTTATGTTTTTTATGCCTTTCATGATGTATTGTGCTCTTTACAAGCAGGGGCCATCTCTCTTACTTGTGTATCTCCCTGCTGTGCCCAGAACATGGGCCTAGACATCAGAAGGGCTAGTAAGTGTCACTGTTTCAGGCATCAGGGAGACTGGAACTTCTCCCAGTACCGCTTTTGTAAGCCCAGGCCGATCTGACCCAGCCCCCAGACGGTGGACCTGCCTTGCGTTTCTCTGGAAGTGAAGACCCTGTCCACCACCAGGAGAGGGAGAGAGGAGGCGCGTACAAGGACACCCAGAAGCTCGTCTTCGATGGTCGGGGCGTTAAAAATAAAACCATAAACTGAAATATATGTCACTTGGGGTTGTTCGGAGCTCTTTTTTGCATTGTAAGAGTTATACGTCCCAATATAGAAAATCTGGAAGCTAGAATTTTAAAAATGTATCACTTGTAGGTTCAACACCCAGAGACAACCAGTGTCATAGCTTTGTTCTATCCGAAGGTCAGTTGGGAATCTCTCTCTGTGTTAGTGCTGGGGTTCCCTCTGCCCCTGGCTAAGTAAATGAGGATCCCATTAGTTCTGTCGCTGGGCACCCTCTTTTCCCAGCTAGTTGGGGTAGAAGAAGGGAGGGAAGGATGCACAGTTCAGATACATGTTGCTTACTAAGGCTAGGCAGGCTATCAGCTGCTCACGTCAGCTGTGTCACTAAATTTTGTTTCTTTCTAGATGGTCTTCTGGCAAAGTTTAATAATGACTGTTTTCTTTTATTCCAGTGCCTTTTATGAAAACAAATTTTTTTTTTCTTTTGATATAAACTGTTGAAGAGTAGTGGATTGTAGAGAATATGCATATGTGTGTATTTGTGTTAATTTACATTATTGAAAGGCTTTTAATGTATAGGTAACACCTTTAGCCGAGGCCTACGCAGGGCCGGGAGCATCAGTATCACTGTCAGCCGCTGCACGTCTTGTCCCGCTGGAAGGTCTTCAGGGGTGGTAAGAGACGCGGAGCTGTCACCTCCTGTGATAACAGGGCCTGCTTCGGGAAGAGCTCCTGGGCCCGGCTATCGGGCGTAGTTCTCTCGGTGAAGGAATTTATGATCTCCCCAACCCAGCCCAGCCAGGGAGGGAGAAGGCTCGGTAAGGATTCAGCTGATAGGAAACCAATGACTCTGCAACAGGTTGAAGACCTGGGGCAGTAGCAGAGAATTTGGAGGAAAAATTTTTTTGTCAGAAAACAAAGTCCATTCTCCTTTTCTCTTGTGCAACCAAGGATTTGAGTCAAACAGAGGAGTAGAATCATTAACAAGTTTAGTTGATGTCCCATGAGAAATGGAGCGGCCACCTAGGCTTTGTCCGTCTTTCACTTTCCTTTCTAGCATCTCTAACAGCCCCAGATAGCTTTTGGTTTATCGTAGGAAGGTGTGCACAAAACATCCAAAGATTTCCTTAAGTAGTTTCTCATAGTCAAGGGACTGTTTCAGAAGAGAAAAAATCACATTTATTTGTGCATCAAATATTTTGAGTGCCTGCCATGTGCCGCATCCTATTCCGGGTGCTGGGTTAAAGGGAACAACATGTGCTGAGAGCATTGTTCTAACAGTTTATACTCCTTGGCACATCCAGTCCTCAGAAGAAAACTCTGAGATATTTACTGTTGATCCCATTGTATGATCACAGAGAAAACTGAGGCCCTAATTAAGTAACTTTCCCAAATCAAGCAACTTATAATTGGCAAAGCCTGGATTGGCTGACTTCAGATGGCACCTTTTATTTATATATCTTTATTGATTTCAGAGAGAGGAAGAGAGAGGGAGAGAGAGAGAGAAACATCAATGATGAGAGAGTCATTGATCAGCTGCCTCCTGCAGGCCCCCAACTGGGAATTGAGCCCACAACCTGGGCATGTGCCCTGACCAGGACTCAAACTGCCATCTCCTGGATCCTAAGTCGATGCTCAACCCGGGAGTCACACCCAGCCAGGCCAGATGGCACTTCTTAAGTGGCTGTGCTATAGCTGTGATTCTTGAGGGGGTCTTGAATTTCATCCAGGCCTTATTTTTCTGTGGGTTGTTTGATGGTAATGATGTTGAGGGTGATGGTAACTGCCATGCACTGTGTCGCCATGTTAAATACAATCTTTCTGTGGTTAAGTCATGCAATTCTCACAACAACTCTATTAGGTTAATAATCTACTCTGTTGATGAAAACAATGAAACTTATGGGCATTAAATAACTTTCTCAAGGTCACAGCCAGTAAGTGGCAGTACAAGGTCTAGATCCCATTTTGTCTTATGCTAAGGCCCATGCACTTAATGACCCCTCTGCCCTGCCTCCAGTGAAAGAGTTAATTCAAGAGAAGAGGGGACACTTCTCTTTCAAAGACTTAGAAATCGTCCCAGCTTCTCCCTAGCTTTCAGGACAAGAGCAGGAAGTTGAGAAGAATAGACACCAGTGGAACCCTTGTGAAGCCAAAGCTCAGATGTTTGGATTAGGCCCCTTCTGGAGACAGACCATTTTAAGAAGGATGCTAAGTGAACGATCCTCTCTCTATTTTAGAGCCGTTGAGATATTTTCTTCACAATTAAATTAGTGGAAGAATACATTTGTCAGTCACTAATTGGATGGATGGATGGATGGATGGATGGATGGATGGATGGATGGATGGAGCTTGTCAAGATTCAGATCAGACTCGTTAATGGGCCAAATCCAGTTATATAATGTCATAGAGAAGATGGAAAAAAATGATCTCTCTCTGGGGTACCCTTTGGGTTTACTTTCATTCTTTACTTTAGGGCAACTATTAGCCTACCATTCCACCAAACACATCCAAGAAAAGTCCACTGAGAGCCTACTGTGTGCCAGGCACTGTAGTAGGCTTTGGAATTGTCAAAGGTTAGTGAGGCGGGTTCCTCTAGCTGGGAGCCTTCCCAGAGTCTGATGGGATATGGGGAGGTGGAGTATTATAAAGGAGACAAGGGAGCCTTGGTGAAATTAGAGCCTCTGGGATCTAAGTTTAGGAAACTGTCTAGTAATAGAAATGGATTTCTTTTTCAAAGAATTTCTTAAGAAGTGAGATCTCAGGCTGAGCCCTCCACTAGTGATATCAAGGACATCTAAGTCACATAACCTCTAAGCTATCCCCACCCCATGCTTCTAATTATGTCAGTAATTAAAATTAATTAACAGGCTAAACCCTGTTACCTGGGAAAGGAAGTTTGCTGCTGTCAGCAAAGGGACACAGAAACATTTGCTCTTGCAAATACTCTCTCTCTTTATCAGATTAGCCACATTTTTAAGCCTAGAGAAACTGTCACCATTCCCAGCCCCCACACACACTTCTCGTTAAACTTCTTTGTTTGATGCTTAATAACTTTAGCTTTGTAATAATTCAGAAGACATTTTAAGTATCTGATGAAGTCTTCACAATATCTCATGAATATAAGTTTAGAATCAGGGAGACTTATTTGTTATTCTCACTTTCCTCTTTATCATGAAATGTTAGTATCATTTTTATTATAAGTCTAAGTGTGTTGTGCTGATTACTGAGTAATAAGTATGTAAAATTTCAGCTGCCATGTTGAAATTTTGACAACTTCAATAAATCGTACCACTTAGGAACCACCAAGGATTTTAGAACAAGAATTTAACCCACCCATTTTTAAAAGCATTTTTTTAAAAAGTGAATTCTCATGATGCCATGTTTTTTTCCAAAAATGAAATTGATACGAAATGTTTCAAGAAAACATATTTCCACCCGATCCACTTCATTTGCCACCTAATGAAGAAGTAACCGGAGAAGTATGACTTTCACGAGACCCCTTTCCTCCCCTTTACTGTCCTTGGAGTTCGTCATTTCCTATAGAGTAAGGCCTGCGAGCTGACTTCCCCTCCCCCCTCCCACTTTTCCAAAATCCTGGGGTGGGGAGGAGGCAGCAGCCTCCTGGTGGGAGGAGTGGAAGGATTATAAAAACCACTTCCTCTAACCCTGGACAACGCCTTTCTCTTTGGAAGCAGCTTGGAGTGGTAAGTGTGGGACAGAGGGAATTGGGGGTGTTTCCCCGGGTCCTTTAGGGATGACTCCCGAGGCCTCTTTCTGGCTGCAGTTGTGCTCAGGAAGAGGCGTCTGAGCAGTGTTGTCTGTGTTTCCGTCATGGAATCCAAGGGAGCGTTAGGGCAATGAGCTGGGAGCAAATTCAGTTACATGTCGTCTACACCACCCTAAGGTGGATGGACAGGTCTCGTGGTTTGAAGGACACAAACATATCACTAGACTCACTGATACGCAGTTGTTCACCCGGCTTCTATCCTTTGCCCTTTGCCCTTACCCCTTTCGACTTTATATGTGGTCCCTGAGCAATCCAACATCCTCCACTCTGAATATTGAGTGTTGTTATTTNACTTTATATGTGATCCCTGAGCAATCCAACATCCTCCACTCTGAATATTGAGTGTTGTTATTTGCATATTATATCTTTTTTCTGATTATGAAAATAGCAGTATGTTAATTATAAATTTTTAAAAAAAGACAATAAAAAACTAACATGGGAAATAAAAATTAAATGCAATCCCACCACCCGGAGAAAATCATTCTTAACCTTTTCTCCATGTATGGGTAATGTTTTAAATCTTCTATCATATGGATGCATTATAACTTATTAGCCAGTGTCCAATTGTTAGCTATTTAATTCATGTCCAAGTCTTCCGATTATATCTGAGGAGTATAAAGTTGGCTTACCTCACATGTTTCCTTCAGATAAGTTTTAAGATATAGGTTTATTGGGTCAATGGACATGATTTTGAAATGTTTGATGAAAATTGTCCTACCAGTTTACACTGCCGTTGTTAATATACGAGGGCCAGATTCCCCACTGCCTCATAAGCACCATTACCTTCTGGTTTTTGCCAAATTATCAAATTGGTGTGTCTGGGGTTAGAGTTTAATTTGCATGTTTCTGGTAACTAGAGATGTAAGAGATTTTATGTTAATTAACTGTATTTCCGCTTTTGTGGATTGCCTACTCAGGTTCTCTACTTACTCTATATAATAAAATTATGTTTTTTAATTTTGTAGTTTTGAGTTTTTATTTAGTCAAACTTTTCAGGACTTTCAGCATATGTTCCTCATACATACAAGTATAGATAAGTGTTTCTTTTGGTTCCTTTTATGATTCATTTTTATATTTAACGCCTTAATTTGCTTGTGCATACTTGCATTTGGTGTGAGTCATAAGAAATGAGGAGTCGTATTTCCTGAGGAAGGAGAAGAGAAACATCACTGTGAGAGGGAAACCTCAATTAGCTGCCTGCTACACGCCCCCTATCCAGGATTGAGCCCTCAGTGCAGGCATGTGACTTGACGGAATTGAACTAGCAATCTTCTGGTGCCCGGGCAAGATCTTTCTTTGTTTTCAATACAGGTATTGACAGCTAGAAATTTTCCTCTAATCACTACTTTACGTGCATCCTATAAGTTGGTATATTATGTTTTTATTTCCATCCATTTCAAAGTATTTCCTAATTTCCCTTGTGATTTCAATTTTGGCCCCTTTGTTATTTAAGGGTGTGTTGATTCATTTTTACGTATTGTGAATTTCCCAATTTTCTTACTGTTATAGATTTCTAATTTAATTCTGTTGTGATTGGACAACATACTTTGAATGATTTCTGTTTTTTATTTTTTTAATTTTTTTAATTTATCTTTATTGTTGAAAGTTTTACAGATGCCCCCCCCCCCCTACCCCCATTAACCCTCTCCACCCTCTGCCCACCCCTCACCAGGCTTTCAAAATACTGTTGTTTGTGTCCGTGGGTCATGCATATGTGCATATAAGTTCTTTGATTAATCTCTCCCCACCCACCCATGCTATATGTCAGTCTGTTGCATGCTTCAGTGTNAAACCTGCACACGCAGGAAATTTAGAATATCCTAGTTAGAGAACTTGTTCTCAAATCCACCACAGGCCACACCCCTTTCCACTGTTCTGTTCTATCCTGTTCATCTCTTTACTGGCCTGGCCCACATAGGCATTTGAATTTGGGAACCTCCATCTCTGAACCTAGACAAAAGATCAAGTTCAAATGATTTCAGAGGACCTTTTTGGTATGAGAGGAAAGGAGACTGGCTTTTTAATGGAACTGTGAAGACCAACGCAATGAAAGATCTTGCTCATGAGATAAAACCAGGAGCATTAGTCAATACATTAAAAGTAGGGTTTTTTTTCTCAAAAGAGAAACTGGAGTATGAGGACAAATTTTTTTTTGAGGTCCTATCACGTGCCAATTACTGTGCTAAGTTCTTTTATATCAGCCTTTCTATAAAAGATGGTAATTTAAAGAGACCCTATGTTCATATACGAAATTAAATTGGTAACTTATGAAGTGATTTTATGCATCTCAAAATATTTATAAGAATGTCACTTTAATGTTTAATGCAATCAACTATTCACCACTGTTAACTGAAGGTCAGTTATGTGGACACACAGGGTCCCTGCCTCGTTCACTGCTGGGGGCTTCCTAATAGCACAGACCCTTATCTCTGTCTGGGCCTCTGAGCTGTCAGAGTTGAGTCACCCTAGGATTAAAGGAAAACTTTGTGAGAATAAGAGTTTGAAACCTTGGTGAACTTTGACAACTGTGTATATTTAAGATTGATTTGGATCAAGCTAACCCTTTACTTCCTTGGAATAAAAATCTGGGTCACTAGGTCAATTAGGAACAGACGCCTCTGCCGGTAGGGCCGTGGGATGTAGTTTTCCCAGGACTGCTCATCTTAATAGGTCAGGGTCGTGAAAACCTTGTTAAACTGCCTTAAAACATAACTTCTGGATCTTCACAGCAGAAGCTGAGTCGAAGCTGGTTTGCCTGCGCATACTTGCATTGGTGTGAGTCATGAGAAATGAGGAGTCATATTTCCTGGGAAGGAGAAAAGTCTGAGTCAACGCGGACTCCCTCTCAGGGGCCCAGCACAGTGCCTTAGGCAGACTGCTGCTCAGTAAATACTTGCTGACCCAATATCCAATTAAGCAGAGACCTGTATCTGCAAAGAAAGCGAGTCTTTCTCAATCCACCAGACTGCCCTGTGTTTGGGAACGTTTCCTGTTTGCGGTAAGGCACCGTGTCCTGGAGTAAGGGACGGGCTGTGTTTGCACAGCACCCCTATTTCCCGCATCTGACGTCCAGGTGAAAGTCGGCTGCAGCGAGCCACCCTGAGCACCTCCTCTCTCTTCCCCCAGGCTCCTCCGTTGGCCCTGTTCGCTGTTGTCCCTGCTCACGTCTGGCAAGGGTCACTGGCTCCAGCGTGAGAGAAGATCCCAGTTTCACCGTTTCGATCCGCCGTGGTTCTGGAGTCACCGTGGTAGGCGAGCCACGGGCACAAAATGATGAGAGTTTGCACATCTGCTGAGGAGTATTGGGGTAACCTGAGAGCGGGAGGAAAGGCCCCACCCGAGGAAAGGGACTCCCGGGGCCTGATTACAGTGAAGCAGAGGGACCAAAAGGAGAGCTCACGGGAGACGCAGGAGGACGGGCTGAGGTGCCAGGGAGGCAGGGACAGAGTTCCAAATCGCAAGGAGCTCAGAGGGAGAGGCTCTTGTTCCATCCGTGGAAAACCAATCTGGGACACCCGGCCCGTGGTAGGAGAAGCCAAGGGGAGGACATTGAGAGAGATTCAGGAGCATTTGATAGCAAAAGAAGGAGACTTAGAATAACAAATGGAAGCAAATGGGAAATCGAGGCAGAGTTATTCTTGTCAGACGACAGGATCCCAGGAGGGACCCGTAGAAACCTGCTGGACTGAGCCCTGGGATTAACGAGGTGGGTGGAACAGCTCTGGCCCTCCCGGCAGAGCAGGCAGCTATGCAAATCCTGCGGCGGCGAAGGGGCGGGCGGCCAGCCCCACCCAGCGCTCCCCGCAGCACCCCGTGGATTTGGAGCACCGCTCGGGAGTAAGCTGGGCTCTTGGAGCCACCGCTTCCTTAGCTCCGCTGATAGCAGACCTCATGTTTACCAGCTCCCGGGAGATCAGATCAGACCGTTGTGATTAAAAAAAATTTTTTTTTTCCTGTAATGAAACCAGCTCCAGCCAGCCAGACTGGGAGTTTACTGCCTGAGCTGTTTCCCAACATGGTTCTGCTGGCAAAAGCAGACGTGATTGTTTCCTTGACTCTCAAGGGGCTTGTTTACACTGACTTAATTTTTACTGCCAGCTTTCAAGTGAGAAGAGGGAGATGATAATTAAAGGTCGGCAGGTGAGCAGAAGGATCCCTGTCCCGCCTTTGGTGGGTGTGCCTGGGTGTGTGTGTGTGTGCATATGTGTGGAGGGGTGTGTGCGCTTTTCCACGCGCAGTTGTTGTGCCCTGATCTGGTTGACAAGACCCGGTCACTTGTTCGTAGGCACAATGATGGGTGCCAGGCTGGGTGTTGGGCAATTTCCTATTTTGTTTATTGTAAAGAAGGAAAATCAATCAGCCGGGCTTTCTGGGTCAGAGGGCAAGGGATGTTTACTGTCAACAGGAGGACAAGGGGATATAAGATACTGAGCTCAGGGGACTTCTAGTTGTAGGACAGGAGCTTAAGAGGTGGGGTGAAGCCAACTGCAGGGCGTTTCTGTCCTGATGCATTTGATGGGAAATGCAACTTGGAAAATTGCACTAGGCCAGAGCACCAGAGCTAAATAGGATGAAATGAGGTCAGACTCAAATTCCGTTTCACCAAGTCTCCTTTTTAAATGACATTTTAATCCTCCCAAAGATGACAGATGGATGCTCGCAATTTGGAAATAAGAGCTTAAGTGAAGAATCGAGAAGGCAAGACTCTGGTGCATGCACAGGTGCCCAGAGAGATTCAGCACAGAGAGACTGACACTCCTGGGAGAGGGACCCACAGTGCTGTCCCCTGGAAGCAACCAGGACCTTGCTGTCCCTCAGGACTGAACAGGAAGCCATGAAAGCCCTGATCGCGGGAAACTTAGAAGACTGCCTGCTGGATAAGGTGAGTACAGATACAGTCTCTCCCACGCACCTCTCCCCCCCCTCCTCCCCTCCT